GCCCATGGTCTGCACCACCGTAGCCTGCGCATCCTCGGGGCCGTCGAGCAGCGCGGTATCCTCCATCTCCTGAACACCTCCTTGTTGGCGTAGCACCTGGCTGCACCGTCTGCTTCCGCCCAGCTCATTCTGCCTCCGGCCATCCTTCTCAAAAGGAGTGCCATCGTACTGCCTAGTGCCCTCAGGTGACGCTCTTCCAGCACAAGTGCCGTCAACCCACTGAGGCCCGCTCCCGCAACGAACGCCTGGACCATATCCCTATATATATATATATAATAAAGATATACGCATACGAAAATGTCGATAGTATCTGAAGACCAGAAGCACCCGCACTGCCTGTAAGCCAGCTGCATGGCCTCGCACCTCCTCCTTATTTCTCCTGCGTATCCTAGATCTCCTGGCAGTTACGGCCCCAATGCGTTCACCTCCCTCATCGGCGTGCCCTTGATCTTCCTCTCCCTTCTGCAGCTGCCTTGTGGTCCCATCTTGCCCTGGTCCTCGAAGAACCACTTGGCGGTTGGTCTTGCTTGGTTTCAGGCTCCATCCACCTCTTTCCAGCTTGCTCTCCAAGCGCTGAGTGGTGGCGTTGATCTGCTCTGCGATTATTGTCGCGTGGGCTCTTGGGCGAACCGAGATAACCTCGCTTCCGCCCTGGGCTGATTGGGATTGGGAGCTCGCGCGACCCATGATAACCTCGCTTTCGTCAAGCCCCACCTGGTGTTCCGAGGTTACCTCGCGAGCTCCAGATACAAGAGGAGTCGGGCCCGACGGGGCCACCGCGTGGGTCTTGGTGATGACGTCCATGAACGCGTTGAACGAGAGGTCGTGCTCCTGCTCACTGCCGGGGCCCGCTGCATCATACAATGTCTGCATATCCTCCCGTTCTCGTTCTTCCTGGTGCCACTGTCCCACGTGCAGGTTGTAAGTATCGTTGAACTGTCTTGGGCACAAGGTGAATCCCATGTGCGCTCCTCTCATAGCCCTTGCATGCAACCAATTGTCTGCGCACTTCATACTCATGGACGCGCAGTGCAGCGCCTCGGCCGCAAATGGTACATCCTCCTCTTTTGACGCGGCGAAGACTGATGCCAGTAGGAGGTCGCGGTTCGCACTTGCGAATGCATGCGTGCAATCGTAGTTGCTCGTGATAGTGCTCACTCCTGCTTGTCTTGCTCCCCGCTGTGTAGCTTCGACGCAGGTAGTCGCATTTGCCCGCGATATGTTTCTAAGCCCCCCCTGTGCCCAGCATGCGTGCTTCGGTGCTTTTCTTTTGTAATGGATCCCCCTGTGAAAAGCCATTCCCATTGAGCAGTAAGCATGCGTGACTCTTTTCCTTCGCATTCCTTGTTTTAACGATTGCCCTTCCCAGCTGAGAATGAAATAGACCTGTGCCAGTCCAATGGTGTAGCTCTTGGTCGGCGACACTTGATAGGGATGTCCTCCGGCTTGTTCCTGCACTCCATGGTTGCTTCTTTCTCCAACACCAAAGATCCCGGTCCAGCTTTCTCGCGTATCCTTAGGCGGCGCGCGCCTGGTTGTCTCCGTCGCCCTAAGCCCTCCGCCGTTGTCCATTTTGTCTGCGCTGCCCAGCACCCTGCCTGATGTCCAACCCATCTTCTGTAGTGCAGACCTTCCCACTCTGCATTTGTAAAGCGTGCTGTACTTGTCCAGGTCTTCCTTGTCATCGCGCTTCTCCGCCGCCCGTGCTCTGTGCTTCTCCAGGTTGGCTGTGGGTCGTCCAGGTTGGCTTTGGGTTCTAGTATCAGCCATTTTAGTTCTACTGGTATTCCCCGCGGGAGGAAGGCTCGCCTTTTCGCCGCCTTCCTGCAGTACTTCTGCATGTCTCTCTTGTTCCTCTCTACTTGCGCTTTCAATTCATATCCAGTGGTGGCGGCATTTTCTTTGCAATCACCTCGTCATGCTCCTTCTCGTATTCTGCCAGGTTCATCGGCTCGGCTGCCAACCCCCCTTCATTGGGGCGTTTGCCCAGCACTGTAAGCCGCTCCTCTGTGCTCCACCATGTGCGCGCTGAGAAATGATATATCTTTTTTTGGCCCTCTCTCACCCCTCTGTCGCTCCACCCTCAGCCTGTGCATCTCGCTGACGTTGTTCTCGTGTGCTCTCCATATTTATTCTGCCAGCTTCTCTTGCTTCGCCTTTTTCCAATTCCGCCTTATGTTTACGTGGTGCATTTTGTATATGCGCCGCCAGTTCCTGCTTGATCTCCCCCAACCTCTCCTGCGTGCCAGAGTCTACCATGCCCACTCTTAGCTTCATCCTTTCTGCCAGTAGGGGAGTGCCGCAGCAATTGGACTGCGGCCACCACCTTGTCTTCCTGCTTCTTCCTGATCGGTAGCATCTCTTTCAGGGCGTTCCTGCCCGCCTCGCTCCACCCCTTCCACATCTGATCTGCTTTTGGGCACGCCTGCAGCTCTCTCCAATCTTCTTCTGCCGCCCCCCCCCATGAGCTGCACCCCGAGAACACGGGGGGGGGGGCGGCGGGGCCGCCCCGTGTTGCACCCCGAGAAAAACCTCGCTAACGCTTCACCTGAAGGCGCAGCCTAGGTCGCACTCCGAGAGAACCTCCCTAATGCTCCTCCTGGCTGCCGAGACTGGGCGGCCTGCAGGTGGCGGTCGAACGCGCGCAGGAATTCCGCCCTTGGGCGGCCTTGCTTCAGGCGCCTCATTAACGCGTTGCGGTCCACCTCGTTGTCTGCACTTTGCTGCCCGTGCTTGCCCGAGCAATAAAGTTAGCGCTCCAGCCCAGCATCCAGGCCCAAGGGAACGTGGTCTCTGTGTCCTCTCGCTTTGATCTTCTGCAGTTTCTTTGCCACTCCTCTCAATGCTGCGCGCCTCAGCGCATGGGGCAAGGCCCCCGTTGGCATTGCAATGTGGTCTATCTTGCTCGACATCATCTTCTCGCTTTAACAAGTAGCATGTAGACAATCAATGAAAGTCGTCACCACCGACAGTAAGTTGTGAACGCAAAATTCCCTGAATGCTGTTCCACTGTCATTATCCACTTCCTTGGCCACTGATCCCAATGCTGCTGCATGTTTGCTCGAACTGTGCTGTGCAATCCCAACTGGCTATTGATGCCCCCTCCCACAATGCTAGTAGATCTGCCACCTGTGTCGTCGCAGTTCTCCTCGACCCACTCCCGATGTTTTGAGATCGTTCCATTGTTCGAGTGCCCCTGGTCTGGCGGTAAATACGCTGCAAATACTGTGACGTCGTAAGCTCTTGTCCTCAGTCTGATTCATGCCGTTCTACCTTGCAGTTGGGCTGGAGGTGAGTACTGCGCGTGGAAGGCCTTGTCTGTCATCATATCGTTAGAAACCAGGAGCGTCGCACCACATGACTTGTTGATCCATGTTCCCTTCTTTGCCCCGAACTGCCGAACTGCAATGCCGCATACTATTTGTGGTTCGTCTTCTTTATCGACTCTGGCCCAGCCCATTGGTGAGCCCCTGTCAGTACAATCACGTCCCACTCTCGTAGTGCACTGCTTATCTCTTCTAGCCAGTCCGTGGTATTCGCCGCAAGCGGATTGGAGAAAGCCGGCTTCATCAGTGCCCATGACAAGAGCGCTGCAACCGCCATCCATTTGCCATGCCCCCTCGGCTCCCGCTCTGGCCCGTGCGATTGCGGGGGTGTCGTTGCGAGAGAGTTTCAGCAACTCCTCTCTCCTTCGGTTCTCAAAGTGCCTGAACTTCCGACGCCGACGAGGAGGAGGAGGAGGAGGAGGAGGAGGAGGAGGAGGGCGGGGCTCCCTTCCGACCGAGAGGGCGTGGCCACCCACACGCCTCTTGTCAGCATGTCGTAAGTGCGAACGCAGCCATCGAACGCGACAGAAGATCTTACGGTCGGTAGCGGCGCAAAGTAACATGGGGACTTGAACGTTTCCTTCGGCGATGCATCGGCGATGCGGCGCGCCAGGGAGGGTAGGAGGTCCAGCGCCGATCCAAGAAATCCGCGCGGAACTTCTGGAGGATTCTGTTTGCTCTGTCCTTTTTTCTTTTTCTAACTAGAGGAGGCCGAGGGGGGGCGACGACGACGGCGCGGGCGCGCACGTCCAGAAGGGTCCCGCCCCCTTTGCCCGAGTCCAGGGCCATTGCAGGTGTTTGCTTCCGTTGCCGTGCCCCGTGCGCAACGCTCAACGGCCTCCGTGAACCGGGTATCTGCCACGTGCCACGCTGCCAAGACGCGTTCCGTATACATTCTTGGCGTTGTTACCCCTTTCCAGTTTCTTCGATGTTGACAAACACTTGCAACGTCGCGAAATCACGACCAGAGCCCTAGAACCCCTCCTCCTGCTGCATTTTTTCGATCCGGGCCGACCTTGGATGGTCCCGGGGCCCGAAGCCGGGCGAAAGCGCCCGGCGCGAAAGCTCTGTGACGCTGGGATCTCGGGGGCCGTGGGCGACGACACGGGAGCACGCGTCCAGCAGGTCCCCGCGCAGGCCGTGGCCGCCCCCGTTCTTGGGCCGTCTTGGAGCCTCTTGGGCCGTCTTTCGGGGCTTCGGGGCAGAGCCAGCTGGCCCAAATACGGAAACATCGCAAACGAGTTCAAATCGTCAAGTTCGCGTGGGAGATCGACAGCAGGATCGAGTTACCCCACACTTATCATCTCAGTCGACTATGAGAAACAAATGCGCACAATGTTCGCAGATCTACGAACTTTTCCATGTTCGTCGCAGCTTCGACGAACATGTCAATTTGGAGGTAAGTCGATCCCACTTTCAGTGCGGCGTGGGCGTTGGTTAAGGAATGTGCCCAGGAGGCTTCAAACCCTAGGGGATGCCTTATCTCATGAGGGTGGCGGTGATACCCATGGCCAGTCCACGATTGGAGCCCCACGGGCTTCCAGACCCTGAATTCCTCATTGAATGGCTCCTGAGACAATTCCGTCCCCGTGTACCAGTCTCGGTCTAAAGTGCAGCCCCAAATTCACGGCCGGCCGGCCCCGCCTGGCGGCTGGGCGCGCGGCCAGCCCCGAGGCCGCTGCCGCCGCGGGGGCGCCGCCGCCCGAGCAGCGCGGGCGCCTCGCGCTCCGCGACGGCCGCGCGGCGCCGCCCGGCTGCGGCGACCGGACGCCGCGCGCCCCGCGCGCGCGCGAGGCGGCGGCGGCGACGCCGAGGTGCCAAGGCCTCCTGGTCCGAGCAGGTGGGGTCGGAGCATCGCGCCGCATCGCCGATGCATCACCGATGCGTCGCCGATGCATCGCCGATGCGGCCCGCTGTGGAGCCCGATTTTCTCTACGCCGACATCTCTGGTACACCGCCGACACCGCCAGTGCATGGCCGATGCATCGCCGATGCATTGGCGATGCATCGCCCATGTATCGGCGATGCGGCGAGATCTTATGACGCCATCTACTCGGACTCCATCTAGGAGGCCTCTAGAGATCCCAGACCCCCTCGGGTCATGAACAAGTCACGTCATGAATAAGTCGCGTCCGACTGTTCTCGATAGGTTTTGGGCTTTGGGGGGCCCTCGCTGGGCCTGAGGACCGTCAACACAGGCCGGTCCTGGGGAATGGGTCGAGACATCTGGGGGTCGACGTCATAACCGACCCAGAACCCGGGACCCTCATTCCGATCCGGGACCTGGGACCCTCATAATCGTCATGATCGACATTTCGGGGCCTGGGACCTTCGTCGATCTGGCCGGGAAAACGCCGCAGAACGATGGGATCTTGGGGCTCCAGTCGTGATTTCTCACGACGTTGGTAATTTTTAGCGTCGTCGGATCTCAGGGGACGCTGACGGCGAGGGCGACGGCGAGGCAGCTGCAGGTCGTCCGTGCGCTTCCCCCGTTCCCTCTCCGAGCGTTTCTCCCCCGTCCTTCTCTCTCGCACCATTCGCTCTCGCGCTGCAGCGTCTTTTGGCCCGGATATAATCGGCGCCACGTCGCCACCGCTCCGCTCCTGGTGGGACGACCGGGCCCGGGCGCGATGGGAGCGCCCGTGCCCGTGCTTCCTCCTGCCCCGCGTCCTCAGCCCTTCGGCCTCCTCGCGCCCTCCGCCCCTGCCACTCCTCCTCTTCCTCCTCCTCCTCCTCCTCCTCCTCCTCCTCCTCCTCCTCCTCCTCGCCACCCAGGCATGTAAGTAGATTGTAAGATATTTGATGCACCGTTCATGCGAGATCACTCGTCTTTGGTGTGATGCCTCTTGTGTCAAGCGTGATTGTGCCCAGCCTCGGCCTCCAGGCGTTCCCACATGAGGTCCGAGGAATGGGCCAGAGGCAATCCGTTCCGCTAAGCGGTCGACCGGAGACCTCACATGCAGGATTCACGCAGATCCGATCGGTGTCTTGTCAGGTGCGTTATTTTTTTTGTGCAGGTACTGCAAAGGGCCCCACAGACACGGGTCGCAAGCGTTTCGTATAGTATCTTATCCTCTTCCTCGTGTTCCTCCTCGTTCTCGTCGTCCTCCTCCTCCTCCACAGCGATTTTAGCTCAAGGCGATGTCTCCCTCAGGGGAGAAGGTGGATACCGCTAGTCAGACTTCCTGAAGTCAGGCAAAGCTTCTCTCCCACGCACCCTGCGCTCGGGGTGGTGGGTAAACGGAGGTGTTTCCCGTTTTTGCTGCCCCAAGCGCACAGAGACGCATGCCCAATTATGTCGCCTCTGCTGTCAAGCGTACGAAAGGGCCAAAGAAGGGACCCAATAAGGCTCGCGGACAGTCCTGTGCTCCCGTGGATCGTGAGAGCTTGGGTGATGCTGCGAACGGCTCTTCCGTGAATTCAAATGTTGGTGATAATGGTGCTGCTCCCGCTGAAGGTGTTCCCTCTGCTGTGGAGGTCGAGATGCTCGACAGCGACGAGGAGCGTGCCAAATATGACTACATCACGCAGCTCGCGGGAGACTTCATCTCGAAGAAGATGGCTGAGCACCGCAACGAGCTCGTACGCGACCTCACCGCCGTCGTCTTAACGACTGTGTCTGACCAGGTCAAGGACTTTGCATCTCAGCGTGCTGACCATGCTGCTGCTGCTCGCGCATTGGCAGACAGGGGTTCAACAGCTCCCGAACACGGCGCGAGAAGCACCTGAACGGTTTTGCACTGACAAACTGGATGCTTTCCAACGGAAATTCCAGGAGCAGCTCCTCGACGGCCGCACGATCAGGCTTCTTGCGTGTAAAAGCCGACTGGACGAACATGGTCCAGTATTACAGATTTTTCGTGGACAGATTCAAGAGCTTCGTGGTGCACCAGCCAGCGCCAAGCCAAAGCCATTGCCTGCCAGTGCTGCAGGCTTCGACAGGGAGATCGACGCGGCGATCATCAGGGTCATGACATCTAAGCTTGCGGAGCTCGACGCTGTCAAACGGGCTCTCACATATTGGACGGTCGAATGTGGTGTCGAAGCTATGTTCTTCATTATCTCGTCGGTCGAGCCAGTCTCAAGGCATTTCGCCATCCAGTTCACTAGTGTTGCGCGCTCAGCTGCCCGCCGTGTCACTCAGGTCCTCGGTGCTGCGCGCATCGCCCCTGGCCAATGCAAACGCGTCGAAGTCAAAGCTACCGACAATCAACGGGCCAGCCATCACATCGGCGCGGGCAAGCACCCGAGGCAGGTCAAATTCGGTTCAAGGCCGCAAGCTTCGTGAGGCGTTCCGCGAGATCGCCAGTGACAAGAGGTGTTTTTTTTGATCGCGACCGCGGGTGCATCGTGGCAAGATAGCGCCCCGTGCTTCGTCTGTCGCCCAGCCCATGCGACGTTGCTTCGGAGATCGCGTGGGCTGACGACATCGACCAGAAGCTTGGCCCCCCCGAAGAACGTTTGGCCGCTGCTGCGATGGCGATCATTGCGCCTCCTGGGGCGGCTGAGCGGAGCCCATAACGGACTCGCGGAGGCAATTCGTGGACGCCTGCCTGGCGCGCCTACCCTCTCGTTCACAACGTGGAACACCAGGGCCCTGGCGCAGCGCCATGGCGCGCGCGCGAAGCCGAAGCTAGCCTACCTCAAGCGCCTGGACTTCACCGGGTGTGTCGTTGCTCTCCAGGATGTGCACCAGGGCGAGAAGCAGTTGGCTGACTTTCTCTCCAAGGCGGCCCTTGCCGCGCGTCTCTTCGCCAGCTGTTGCGAGGGGTCTGCAGTTAAAGGTGGAGTTGCTATTGTTCTTCATGCGGGATGTCTCGCTGGGGCATCTCATCGGTCTAGTTCAGGGTCGAGTGCCACGCGTAGTGCTGCGACAAGAGGGCATCGGAATCTTCCATTTCAATGTGCGCAAAAATGACGTCACCATCGCGCAGCTCAACTCGTTTTCGAAAGCTTTGGCAGCTGGCATGCAGATGGCGATGGGAGATCCGCTTTCACAGCGTGGTGGTAGTCCACGGCGACGTGAACTGCGGCCCCGAGCCTCCTCTTTCGCTACATCAGCCTCGTCGTCCTGTTTCTGAAGGTAAAGGCCAGCATGCGCGCGCGACCCGATGGGCTCGCGCTCTACGTCTTCTTGCGGAGATCTCCGCGGGCGAGCCCGCGCGCTACGACAGGCGCACTCACTCGGTTTCTATCTCGAAAAGAATGCGGATCAGCGGGCCTGGTTGGGCGCTGACACAATTTGCCGCGGAGCCTGTGGTCATTGGATGTCCTGATGAACTGGCCGACAGATTTGTCGGCGACCTTGCGGCACGCCATTCGGCTTACCCAGAGAGCTTCAAAGCCTCATCGGTCACATTGTATTCCACGATGCGCAGTCGAACCGGAAGCTTTCAAGCAGCAGCTCAAGGCGGCGCGTCAACAGCAGAACTATACCGACGAAAGCCCTCCGAGACAGATCGAGCTGCACATATGGGCGATGAGAGAGGTGGCTGCTGATTGTCGTCATCGTCAGTTTCAACCGGCTCTTCTGAATCGAGCGCCACGCTTCTGCTTCTCGCTCGGCAGATGGCTCGAACGGCGTGGAGAAAGTATACCAAACTCATTCGGAAGCTGCTCTGCAATCGCGCCACTGTTCGAGATGTCTGGGAGATCTGCGACCACAGAGTTACGCTTCGCCACGCGGCTCCATGTCAGTACTGGTGTGGCAGCATTCAAAGTCGTCATGCAGATGGACTTCGCGCGCACCTCGAAGATCGTCTCGCGCGCCTGCAAGCCCCGCGGACCCCTCGGCGCCAATTTGCTGCAGTCGGACGCCGCTCGGCCATCTGACGTCCGCTCAACCGTCGGCTGGTGCTACGAGCGGTCAAGCATCCCACTGATCCAACTTGCGTTTCAAGCGACTCGCCCATCGTGGCTGAGCGGCTGGCTGATTGACCACTGGCCGCCGACCCTCCGTGCCGAGCCAATCGACACCCATCTCGCGCAGCCTTGCATTGAGCAGCGCATTCCCCTCCTGGACTTCACTACGGTTGGAAGATGCACTACTCGGAGCCAGGCTTGGACCCCACCGCGTACTCTGCATAAGCAGCCACCTCCACTGACACCAATGTGCTTTCCGACGCGATGATGTGGATCATGAGCGGCCAGTGACTTTTCAAAAGCTCCAACGACACGCTGCAGGTCTGGCTCCCTGGGCGAGGGGGCGAAGGGCTCATTGGCAGCAGGTTGCGCCCGCGCTCCCAGCGCAGTTCTTGCACTTGGTCTGCGCAACACGGAAATCACGTTTATCACCACCATTAACACTCAGTTCAGTAAGTTGATGCTGGACTGGGCGCCTCGCTCCCGGCGCGACTTCATACCCGAGCGCAAATTTGGTGTGAACGCTCTGGAGCTCGATGTGGTCTTGCGCACCTGCCCAAACTCGCCCACGGAAGCGCGTGAATTGCCTGCCCTCGTCGCGCTTGATTTTGGCGCGGCCTTCCCGAGCCTTGCCCAGACGTTCATGCTGATGGTCTTTAAGCAGATGCAGGCCCCCTCGCTTCCATGGCCATACTGGAGCAGCTCCACCACATCCTAGACGCCATGGTCATGATCAACGGCACGCCTACCGTCGCATGGAGGATCTCCTCAGGCATCACCCAGGGGTGCTCCCTCAGCGGATCTACGTGCTGCTTTCACTGCCTGTTTGCGATATGATCTACAAGTCCAGCTTGAGGGTGCACGTCTTGGCCTGGCCCGCGCGCGCTGACGACGTAGGCTGCGT